ACACCTCCTCTCCTTTGATGCCACAAAAACTCTCGTCTCTTCACTCATTCTTTCAAAATTTGACTACTGTAACATTCTTCTCTCAGGCATTCCTCAACACCACATAGAAAAACTTCAGAAGGCACAGAACTCAGCATGCAGACTCATTTTTAAATTAAAGAAACATGACCACATTCAACCACACATGCGGCAACTCCACTGGCTTCCAATATCCTCTCGCATCAAATACAAGTCTTCCAATCTTTGCTTCAACTCGTTCACTGACCCTCACTTTCCTGTCTATCTCTCTGAACTGTTGCTTCCTTACATCCCCACAAGACAACTACGTTCTTCCATTGACAGTAGAACCCTCTCAATCCCAAGAACTAAAACTAAGACCATCGGTGAACGCTCCTTCTGCTTCCATGGGCCCACGTTCTGGAACCAGCTCCCCTTCCATATACGTCATAGTGAAACCTCGTCCATTTTCAAAAAGTCCCTTAAAACTCATCTGTTTAGGTCCGCCTATGACCTGTGATGCACCCTCCTTGCCCTACCTAATTTTCTGTTTCGGTTTAATCCTGAAGTGTCAAAGTGTCCTCTTTTTATAGCCATTTTCATTGTTTCTATAGAATAGTAGTTACTATCCTAGTGTCTCATTTGTATTTACTTAGTTTACATGTTTTAATAATTGTAAAGCGCTTAGAGCTTTATGATAAGCGCTATATAAAAATGCCTAAATAAATAAATATTTTGTTTAAATGAAAATCAAAACAAGTTTTTAAAATTTGGTATCATCAAAACTGACCTAATATTACCCATTCTTGTCCTTTACTAAGCCACACACCCACTTCAGATATACCGGTAGATATCTGCTGATCAAGCCAAGAACCCACTTCAGATATAGATATCTGCTGACCCAGCCAAGAACCCACTTCAAATATAGATATCTGCGGACCAACGCAAGAGCTCACTTCAGACACAGATATCTGATGTAGCATTCCATTACCTTCTAGGAATTACTGTTAAAAGAAAAAAAAAGGAAAGGACATGTTTTCTATATGTGAAAAGTTGTTAAAATGTTTACTGTGCAGTTACTGTGGTGTTCTTCCTACCATAAAGTAAAAAGAAATTATGTTTTAATTTTGTCCCAATAAATTGTGTCAAACAATTGTTCCCATAAAGCGGAGTTTAATGAAATTGCCCAATAGATAATTTATTTTTATTTTATTTACATTTTTACAAAAAATACTCAATACAAAAAAACATCTTCTCAAATCCCATGATCAGAAATGTAACATTTTTAAAGAATGAAAATAATAAATTAACAAATAACAATTTTAAATAGGTTTCAAAATCCCAAGAGTCATACGGATAATTTTCTGAATTTTTTTAATACGGTAGCATTAAAATATAAAAAAGTTAATAATCCTTATATTGGCTGAATGTAACCAGCCCACATTATACCAATTATTAGCACACCCAACCAATCAAAACCTGGCACAGTTCAATGGTTAGTAAAAAAATAAAATCATCCATACCACTCACCAGGATGGTTAACTTGACATGAAGGTTAACTTCACCTGACCATTAACTAGACATGGTGGTTTACTTGACATGATGGTTAACTTGACATGAAGGTTAACTTCACCTGACCATTAACTAGACATGGTGGTTAACTTGACATGATGGTAAACTTGACATAAGGGTTAACTTGACAAATCTAGACCAGACTCCACCTTGACTCATGTTCTTGGTTGGCCTCTATGTCCATTTCAACTGTCTTTGGGAAGAAACAGTATCCCTGTATTACATTTATTTAGAAAAATACAGTTGAAAGAAGATAAAGGCTTTTACGGTGCACAATGCTTTGGAATACATCTTTATCATTTTTAAAAACCTTAGAATTTTCTAAATTGCTTTTATTTTGTCACAATAAATTTTGCAGTTAAATAAAGAAACCAGACCAATATTTTGTGTGCTGAGAAGAAAAGAAAAACCATCTCTTGATTGTCTTAGTCTCAGCATACAAAGTAAATAGTTTAGCCAAGCATTGCTTTATACTGGATGGCTTGCCATTTACATACAAGTGTTAATTTACTTATAAATACTAAGGTGTGAGACCAAAGTAGACTCCATGTGTCTCAAACGGAAATGAAATCTTAATCAGTTTATGAAGCTGGGTGGAGGTGAAATACCGGAGTAATTATAATTATATGCCTAATTTTTGCAGATACCAAAAGCCTGAACAACACACAGCCTCATCATCCCCCCCCCCCCCCCCCAAACCCTTACAAAAAAGGAAAAAACTAAAACCTTGAAGAAGAGGTAAAAATCTGAAAGATGCAGTAAGTGACACCATGGATCTTGATTTTATAACAAATACTTCAAGTATATGTTAAACTTACTATTATGGAAACAGTTACCAGCATTCCTGTACTGTAGAGACCAGCATCCCTGTAGAGACCAGCATCCCTGTACAGGCCAGCATCCCTTTAGAGACCAGCAACCCGGTACAGACCAGCATCTCTGTACAGACCAGCATCCCTGTAGAGACCAGCAACCCGGTACAGACCAGCATCTCTGTACAGACCAGCATCCCTTTAGAGACCAGCATCTCTGTACAGACCAGCATCCCTGTAGAGACCAGCAACCCGGTACAGACCAGCATCTCTGTACAGACCAGCATCCCTGTACAGACCAGCAACCCGGTACAGACCAGCATCACTGTAGAGACCAGCAACCCTGTAAAGACCAGCAACCCGGTACAGACCAGCTAGACCAGCATCCCTGTACAGACCAGCATCACTGTAGAGACCAGCAACCCTGTACAGACCAGCATCCCTGTACAGACCAGCATCCCTGTAGAGACCAGCAACCCGGTACAGACCAGCATCCCTGTGGAGACCAGCATCCCTGTGGAGACCAGCAACCCGGTACAGACCAGCATCTCTGTACAGACCAGCATCCCTGTAGAGACCAGCAACCCGGTACAGACCAGCATCTCTGTACAGGCCAGCATCCCTTTAGAGACCAGCATCTCTGTACAGACCAGCATCCCTGTAGAGACCAGCAACCCGGTACAGACCAGCATCTCTGTACAGACCAGCATCTCTGTACAGACCAGCATCCCTGTGGAGACCAGCAACCCGGTACAGACCAGCATCCCTGTGGAGACCAGCAACCCGGTACAGACCAGCATCCCTGTAGAGACCAGCATACCTGTAGAGACCAGCATCCCTGTACAGACCAGAAACCCGGTACAGACCAGCATCCCTGTAGAGACCAGCATCCCTGTAGAGACCAGCATCTCCACTGGTGGAGTAAACAGGTGGACAGCAACCAACACTTTGGAAATCTACCACTTCAGCGTCGACTGTTATGGAAAAATTGTACTGTTCCTGTTTTACGCAACACAAAGCTGCCAAAGTCAACAGTTGTGTCAAAACAATCAAGATTATCAATAATAGCATAACAAGATGATTGTTTACATCATGACGCGGGTTATAATGGGAAACTTGTTGCGTTACAATCTACTTCTTATGGTCGCCTGGCTTGTGATTGTTCCCCTACATTTCAACCCTCGACATCTAAAATCCATTTTTTCAGGTCTTTAACTTAATCGTGTTATTTTGTTGTTGCTGTTGGATATTGTTATGCTCGCGTCATTTCATGTTATATTTCTAAAGAAGAATCTAAATCTTTTTTTGCTACGTTACCGGTGTTGAATTCTCGGGAAATGGTTTGACAAATAATTACTTATTTTTTAAAGCGGTATCTTTATATTAATTTACATACACACTCATGATTGAAAATAATCAGGGTTCAGAACTTGGTATCCTTTTCATTATATGGCAATGGGTTATGCATACCCCTGAACTGTTTTTTCAGAAATTTGTGAAATATTTTTATCTTAAAAAAAAATAATAATCCTAATCCAAATATTCATGTTTCTATCATTATCAGGTTTTGATAAATGGTATCCTCTGATAACTATAAGCGTTGCTTTTGGTCATTTGAACATACCATAAAATAAATACCGGTAGATTAGAAAGCATTGAATGGCCTTTGATGTGATATGAACTTGATTCTCTTTATTAAACGACATTTGAACACACCATACTGGCAGCAGCTAAGGTTATGCCCATCTGATGTTCTCATTGGTCAACTCCAGTTTCAAAGTCTAGTAGTGGTAGTATCGGTATTTAGTAATAGCAATGAAGAATAATAACAATGGACAACCAATTATCATGATAAATAAGCTTGAAGGTTTAATGATACTTAACATGTTGGGAGGAGGATATCTTGATACAGAAACACGGATGTCTACACAGCCACTAGGACAAAAAAAAAACGTTCAATAAAAATCTAAGCTGGGGCTACCGACACCTGTTGTGTACCACAATCAAAATATGAGTTGGGTCCAACCACATCTTTTATGGTACCATAAGAAAAATTTGAGCTAGGACCAACCACATCTTTTGAGGTACCACAATCAAGATCTCATTTGGGGTCAACCACATCTGTCATGGTACCACAATCAAGATCTCATTTGGGGTCAACCACATCTGTCGTGGTACCACAATCAAGATCTCATTTGGGGTCAACCACATCAGTAGTGGTACCACAATCAAGATCTCATTTGGGGTCAACCACATCTGTCATGGAACCATAAGAAAAAAATTTGAGTTAGGACCAACCACATCTTTTATGGTACCATAAGAAAAATTTGAGTTGGGGACACTCTGCCTTTTACTTTATGGTACCATATAAGAAAAATTTGAATTCGGGACGTTAAAAGTTCAAAACAACTCACATGGGAAAAACTCAAATTTAAAAAAAAATTTGATTTTAACAAAATAGTCAGGCATTTGATCAGGTTGCTTTTAATACTCTACAATTCCCAATGACCAGTACCGATCAAAGTATCAAAGTCAGAAAAGTGAAGTTAGTTTCTCATTGAACATAATAGAGACCCACAAAAATGTTCCTTCAATCTAGTTGTTAGGATGCACACCCCCCCTCCCACCCAAAGTTACCTGTAACAGTTTTTGACTTAATTTAAAACTATTGCGGCACCAGTTTCAGATGCCACCCTGCCTCATTAAATGAACAGGCATTTTGGGCTGATCTAACGACATTCAACCTAGAACTAACTAACAAAGTACCTACAAACACAACATATGGTCATCACATTATTATTGCATAGAGGACAGTGCTCATCACCGAAGGTGTACAAATTTAAAAGTTCAATCAACGTGTAAGAAATAAATAGTTAATCTAAGAACACTTCGCATTTTGTTTAAGGCGTCTTCTAAAGGAATACATTTTCTATGTGTTCAGTGACAGTCTTAAGTTGTTCTGGTTAAGAGAAAACATCAAATGCTGGTATTGAAGAACTAGAATATATTACGGTTAAAATCTTAAAATATATAACATGTTTTACATTTGGTTGATGTGCTGATTAATGAGTGGAGTTATATCAGAGCTGCTCATTCCATGTAACAAAATCAGTGGACCAACTAGTGACAGGTCGATGGTTACAGTTACATGCACACAGAGTGGTCATAGTGTTCATAGAAAATTTAGGAAATTATTGGTCAAATGTATTTTAATAAAATGATGAATAAAATATTTAAATCCCTTTCAGTAGTAAAGACCCTCAATTGAATGCGCTGAAAGCTACACAAAACCAGTGAGTCCAATATGACTTGTAACATAGACCCTCAATTGAATGAGCTGAAAGCTACACAAAACCAGTGAGTCCAATATGTCTTGTAACATAGACCCTCAATTGAATGAGCTGAAAGCTACACAAAACCAGTGAGTCCAATATGTCTTGTAACATAGACCCTCAACTGAATGAGCTGAAAGCTACACAAAACCAGTGAGTCCAATATGTCTGTCTTGTAACAATGTGTGCAGGGTCCACTGGTGGGTTATCACCCCTGATTTTACAAAAGCACCAGAATCAATGAAGACACAGTAATACATGACTTTACACAACAACAACACCATGTATAATCACAACCTTCACCACTATTAGAACAACCTAAAGAGAGGGCACCATTCTACAGCAGCTCTTTACATCAAAAACATATACGCAGAGTGACTAGAGTTAGAAGAATTCATTTCCATGCATGAGCTTGGCTACGCCCACTAAAGTACTGGCATTGACTTTTTTATTTTAAAAATGAAAAGTTGGGCAATTAAATTTTTTAATAACTGCCAGTGCCGTTTTGTTAAAGGGGTTGTCATGCAGCCATCTTTTTAACACTCACACAAGGATAGATTGAGGATTCAACAACTTTAGATAGATTAACAGCCCCCACTGAGGCTAAGATGTCAGATCTGAACCACAGATATTGATAATTAGTGTAAGCATTTGGTATTGATGGTAAAGCTCAATTTTTTTGTTGTTGTTCTGAAGCCTTGGAAACATTGAAATGGCAACTGACGAAAGTTAAAATCTTGAAATAACTCAATATGATGTGACAATACCTTTGTAAATAGTAATAATACTACTACTCAACTTTCTAGTTTGATAGGAAATCATTTATTGTGGCCAATACGTTCGTGAGGGTTGACTCGATATTCTTTATGCAATCAAGCCAATACTTTTTATTTCTCAAACCAAAATGCTATGAAAACGTTTCCACTGTTCACAGGTCTGCCCAAGCTGCTGGAGTGCTAGTTAGTCAACAACTCTTGACATCCACATTAAAAACACATCTAATAATACTTACATTACACATCGCTCTAAGTTAAAAGCTCTACAGATGATATGGGCGTCTGACTAAAATAAATAAACAGATTCTGCAGCCGGTTACACAGTACACATGATTGTTCATTATCTACTCAAACGGAGGGAAACCAGATCTAGAGGAAGAGAAAGTTCAACCAGGCCCACATCACCACCCTGGTGCAGCATAGCATTAGGAACCCCTCTCAAGTCTAAGAAACCACCTACAAATCCCCAGGAACCCCATCGAAGGAAATTCCACAGATCTCAACTTCCTCGTCATCTTTTTATTTCATGAGAATGATTATTAATTTTTAAAAAAATGTTTTTTTAAATGTCTGGCAATTGTTCGTAAAACATTTAAATTAATTCATTAATACAGCAAATATTACAATGACATATAATTTTAAAAAAAGCTTCAAACATTAAATAAAAAGTTCGGGTGACAATTATTCTGAGAATTAAATTTTTAAAAGTTAGTGCATGATACATGTAGTAATACAAGGTCATTTTTGCTTATCACTCTTGATGTTTGTTGTTATGTACAATGCTACCAGAATTTCTTCCATACATGACCTGATTGTCTTTTCATTAGTAACTAACCTACCTACCCGACACAGGTTACCGGAAATTAGTATGAATAAATGTTGTTCAAACGAAAGTTAGTTTCAACGAAACCTTGTTTTGAAGTAAAATTTATTCAGAAATTACCAAAAAAAAAAAAAAAAAAAGTTTTCCATTGAAAGATGGGGAAAATTTTGTTGTTTTTTCCCCCCATTATTTCCACTTGAACAATCCCTTCGTACAATTTGGTTTCGCATGCCAATTTCTGGAAACACTGACAAGTAGTGAGGTAAACTAAAGCACACAAGGGGGATTGATGCCTTTTAAAAGCTAACTGTTACTAGCAGAAGTGTCCTACTTTGTGATTACCGGTACTAGGTGACAGCTACACTTTAAATCCTCTAGACTTTAAGACATATAACCTCACGTTGGTGAGATTCTATGCACTAGAAATCCCAAGGTTTCCAGAAACTTTTATTTCCTTTCATTTATACACAAGAGCCACATTGTGATAAAAATGAGTTTCGCTACTGCACTCCACTTTTATGGTCACATTTTAGAATTAATAATTACAGATATTCAAAATTTTCTGGACCTTTGGTTTGTTCAATTTATGTACTATTGCTAAAATTTATGCCGAAAATCTGTGGGAATCCCACTTGTTTAGGCAATGGAAAGCATTGGGCGGCGGGAGAGAAATATGAGTTAAGATGCCATCATTTTCTTTTAATTTCTTGATCACCTGAATAATTTGGCTACTCTACATCAGTCCCCACAAATAACACCAGTCTCTTCATTTAGCACCAGTCCCCTCAAATAGCATCAATCCAATTTAGAGGCTGTTAATCTTTTCAAATGCTTATAAAATCAAGACAATTGTACTTCAACTCCAGTAAACTCATTCCCCTACTGTTGGGACTAAATGGGCACGATCGAGGAGGATGCAATGGAATGCATCCTGGTGCATCCTCTCTCACTGTTACTTAAAAATAGCAATGAAATCAAATGTCCCCTGATACTTCCCGGAAAAGGTTCATTTCAATAAATAAAACTGGACGTTTTTTTTTATCTTGTTCCAGTTATGATCTATGTGCGTTTTACATTTAGCTCACGTCGTCTGTAGAGGCAAAAAGCAATTTTTAGGCTGTTGAAGTTGTGTTCTTTTCTGGATGCTTTTATCCTTAATTTGTTAAAATTAATTAATGTTTAGTAGCTAAAAAAATATTTTACTAATATCAATTGGAAAAACAGAGGTACCTCCCTTTGTTCAAGAATACTGGATTAAGTACAAAAGTCACACAGCCGTAAGGAATGACTTAGCCCATCACTATTTCTACATTGACATTCTCATGAAAGCTCTTCCTTTTAAATGCCAGTGGTCCGTTTAGGTTTGATAAAAATGAGCAAATATTTTCTGTTTTTAAAAAAAAAATTAAAAAAATGATAATTTAATTTGAAACTTGCTCTTGTGGGAATCCCCCTCTGGAATGACCTTTGTGTTAATGAACTAAGTGAGATCATTCCAACTTGGCCCTCAGTTTACTTTTCAGTAAAACTGGCAACAGGGCCACCAGTGCAAAAACTGCTAGTAGACCTATATTTCCCCATGACATGGCTTCACTGGTAGATGACAGTTGGTGAAGTGTGGTCCCTGCTTGGATGAATACAAATGAGGGCGGTGCAACACCTAGGGGAAGAATTAAAAGCATTTATGTGTACGGCACGCAAGAAAGCTGCTAGATAGACATATAGATATTTGTAAGAGTAAAATTAATTATCGGATTGGTATATGATTGTCAGCTTAAATAAAGTCATGGGCAATCAGTGATATATTGTCAGCGTTGCTACAGCCGGTGGCAATCAATGATATGTTGCCAGTTTTGCTACACAGGAGCAATTAGCCGGTGGAAATCAATGATATGTTGTCAGTTTATTTACAGCTGGTAGCATCAGTGATATATTGTCAGCTTTGCTACAGCTGGTGGCAATCAATAATTTATTGGCTATGCAGTATTCATTCATCATCATGTCCCTTAGTCCTTGGAACATTGGGGCCCTACAGATGACATGAAAACTACCCTTCTCCATTCCTGTTTTTCATCAATTAATTTCAAAAAGCAATTCCAGTGTCCAGTGTAGAGACACATGTATAAGGAATAAAATGCAAGACATTTCATCACATAAATAATTCTCTCAATCATGTGTGGGCTAGACTAATACTGGTAAATAAGAACTTCAGTAGGTCAACAAGTATGACCAGTATATCTGTCAGCTTAATGCCATTCACACGAGCCTCAGGGCCGGGCTCCATATAAAAACCCACAGTAATACGCCACAAGCACACAAACCTAGAGTTGTTCCAATGAAAAAGGTCCAGAGTGGGACATTGATGACAGGTGATGTTATATTAATGAACCAGTTGGGCAGGAAAGGTGTTATTCTAAGAAACAGCATGTAGTTCAGTAGGTGCGCTCTGTGATTGTCCACCTGAAATCAGACATTTATCAATTCATTTATGCAGTTCTCTGGGGCTGGCTGACAACACAAGAATTTTCCTTCTAATTCAATCCACTTGTTTGAATGGCCCATAAAATACAACTATTACCGGTAACATATTTATTTTGTTTGTTTTAGGCAGGTACCTATTTATTCCACTAAAGACTTTTGACCATGGCTTAAAGTAGTACAGATACAACAAATTCTCTAAACCAAAGGTTTTTTAAATCTACCAATAAAAACACATGAACTCTATAAAAATAAAATAAAAATCAATTTACTATAATAACTTATAATATCTTTAAAAAAAACTTCACAAGTAACAATCACTGTGCTGAAGTAGTTGATAATCTATAGACAGACAGCAAGTACTAGAAAAGACCTCACTTACATGCTTTTTCCAATCAGCAGCTCTCTGAGGAAAATATTTGTGTACAATTCTTCTACCCACCATGTATGAAAGAAGGTAACAGAATGAAGCACCTATTGCAGAACACTGTAAATGAAAAAGAAAAAAACATTTTTTTCCATATATATAGACATTTAGTCACTTGGGATATAATTATGAGCTTTCCTCACATAAAAAATATTCTTAAAAATGTTCAATTAAAACTTGTTAAAACTATATTACAACATGAAAAAAAAAAAGACTGGTTCTATTGACAACAATAATAATAAACAACATCTGTCTTTTCAATGCTAGACAATGGACTTACCAAACACACTAATGGTAATGCTAATACAAATGGATACAAGAAGCCGGATATGATGCTAAGGAATATGGAGCCAGGTATAGCAAAAGTTTGTAAACTGGACATCTGTTAAGGTGAAATAGTTCTTAAATGCATTTTTTTAAAATTTATTTTTAAAGAAAAGACAATTGTAAATAGCTGTTAATGTGTGATTAAAAAACTAATAAATGTCAAGAAAATTTGACTGGAAAAAGTAAAAATCACACTAATAACACCATAGACGACCGAGTTATTCTCTTAACCGTACATATAAATATAAAAGCGAAAGGCCTTAATTACTTAATGGCATCATTGAAAGGATACAATATAAAGACAACAAAATATCCAAGTAACACTTGATAATAATATTTTTCTTTGTAGTGATGCAAAACATTCCCCAAGTTTTTGGCATCTTCTATATTTCTGGGAAGTTTAATATATTGAACTTCATCTCTGAAACAAACAAACAAACAAAAGCCAAACAAAATGACATTAGTATCAAGAATAGGTCAATCTTCAAATCCTCTTTAGGAAGAGGACACTATCCTGGAATCTTAAATCATTTATTATTTATAGCAGTAGCAATTTTAATTTATCTTTTAATTTCTTACAGGAAATTGAAAATATTGAATGCCGATCAAATATAGTTAAAATCAGTTACTTAAATAGATAAACTATTTTTTAAAAAGAAATTTTTTACTAAGCAGAATTTAGGGAGATTTTGTCTTAGTTTCCTCCAAGTTATGTGGGCCAGGATTGAAAAAGATATATTTAAAAACAAACCCTTTCCAAGAGCTTGAGAAATATGTTCAGATCAATAAAGCAACAGAAATTGTACTGTTAAATTTCAGATTCAGAAAAACTAGAGGGTAAAGTTGAATTATATCTTAATAAAATTGCAAAGAATTTTCATTTTAAATGTACACAAAAATTTTTCAATGGATTTATCCATTATTTACTTTGAGTAGTAATGTTTTAAACTTTTAAATAAAAAATGATGTGCTCAAAATATTTTGTGTGGAAGTGGAAGCTTTTTAAGATAAGAAAACAACTTTTAATATAAATAAATAATGATGTACATATTTTCTAGTTAATTGTAACAGTTTTTTACTTTAATTTAAATCAGAAATATTCTAATTTTGAAAAAGTACAAAGAAAAATCTGCCACTTCTCAAGATGAAAGAGTATTTCAATTTAATTCAGTACTGTACTTACCACGACACAACACTTAAATAAAAATGAGGATGACATGCTGCCTTCCAGATCTTTCTCTGACCAGATTAAGGGCCCACCGATGCAGTCAAAACTAGATTAAAATAAATCTTCCTACAGCTAAAATGAGTTAAATGCTACCCTCGTACAACTACAACTGCACCAAGTTGGCCCCTCAGGTCAGTGTTTCACAATACTCACGCTTCCAACCGCGGAAAGCTGGTATAAACCACCCCCAGCACAACTAATGCACTGAGAAATATCAATGCAAGAATGAGTAAGGATTTCCTTGTGCTGCCTTCCTCCTCAAGCTCGGTCTCAATAAATGTCTTTTCCCTGAGCTGTGTGAACTCCTGTTCTCTTAGCTGGGTGAAATTGTTACTACTACCATAATCAACAGTATCCGTTGAGCCTGAGGGAAAATAAAAAAAATTTTCATAATTTTAATTCAATTAAAAAACAATCAGCTAAGAAACATGTCAAACATCATGACCTTTAACTTCTAGGAAAACATTTAGCCAATGTCTACATTTAAATATTAAAAGTTAAATTTAAAAAAGAAGAAAGAGGATTTTGGAGATATTTTTATTTGCTTTTGTTTTGGAATTGTTCCGACATCTGTAAATTTAATGCTAAGATTACACCTATTTTTATGTAGGCATGAGATATTTTAAGTCCATGTCAGTTGGCTGATATTTTATGACTTCAGAATTAAGGCTTAGTACCGACGGCTTACATGATTAGCTGCCTTGACAAACAAGCACTTCCTACATTCACCCATAACTAGGGTCATGATCCCGGGCTCACTCAAAAAGGCATTCAATGTCAACTTTGCATAAAGGAGTTGACTTATATTTATTAAAAACGTGTTTGTTTTACATGTAATATTGGATTTGAATCTTCAACTTAACGTATCATAAAACTGTAGATTAAAAAAGGATGTGAAAATGATAAAAATAAATTTTTTATGAAGCAATGATTAATTTCATGATTACAGAAAAAAATAAAGAACGAATAAGGAATAGGCTAGATAGTAGAAAATTTATCTTTACTTTAAAAGAAAAACAGGGTTTAGTTTTAAAAAATAAATAAATCAGTCATAGCTTTGTCATTAAAGATAATATTTTTGTGACAGCAAATTAGTATCCCTAGTATTAAGAAGACCATCCACTGTTATGTGAAGTCTAAGAGCATATTAGTAAGTGGATCACAGATCATGCTAATTTAATTGTTTAAATTCTAAGGTTATGCATTACGTGTAAAAAAAAAATAAAACCATTACTAAAATGAATGTGCAGATAATTATTTCTAAATTAACATTAGTGAAAATTGAAGAAAACATTGATAAGGATTAGAATGCTAATCAAGCAGTATCAACTCTAATATGCATAAGTAATAATCTTAATTCAATTTGTCAATGCATTTTGGGTAAATGTGAAATTCTTTGACCTTTAAGTAATGCTGTAAAAGATTGGAAAATCATCAGCCCTGGTACCCATCAATCCCATGGAGCCTGACGAAGCATATACGTGTTTAGGTAAATGTTGAGTGTCATTAAGGTCACTGGCCACCACATGATCTACATATATCTGTTCAATTGTTTCCTGATCTAAACTTGCTAATGTAGAATTTATTGAAATTAATGTAGAATAGTGATGTTGTATTAGTTGCGTTTATATCTGAAACAGGCTTAAAAAATCAATGCTATTACATCAATAGGCAATAATACCGGCAGGTGATGTTCATTAAACTTAATGACTCTGTATATTTCCTAAATACTTTTCTGCTTCGTTAGGTACCAAGGCATTAGCTCTATGGCTTAACAGGTACCTGTGCTGGTGATTTTCCAATTTCCGACAGCCCTTTTCACTGCTAAAAATAGGGTAAAAATAATGTTTAAAATAAGGGAAAAGGCCTAAATTTTAGGATCCTTTCTACTAGCATTATATGTTCTAAACAACATAAATGGCCAACAACATATTATAAAACAAAAAATTCATATCTCTCTGCAATGACCAAAATTGATGACACAAATTTAGGGTCAACTTACGCTTTACAAGTCCCCTCAGTTTCTGTGGATGTGTTGACTCTTCAATGTTTAGTTGTGGATTTTTGCTAGAATTAACTATTCTTCTTTTTAATATTAATAAGATAATAGAATGTTTATGATTGATGAATTTTTAAATTAATATTTCATGGCATTGTCAATTATAATATTACAAAATGAGGCTAATTTAACTATAATATCTCAAAACGAGGCTATTTGCTGGTGCCATGTGAAAAAGGATTTTGAATTTTTCTGAAATCTTTTTGATTTTAGTGGAACCTGTTATAAAGTGTGTAAAAGTGTATACAATGAAACTGTACGTTTTTTATTTTAGGTTTTTATTATTTTGAATCTTTAAAAACAAAAATCCTTTTATTCAAATTTAAGATTTTTGTCATTACTGTGTGTAACTGTAGCCAACAAACACGTGCTATAGGCATTAGATATATATATGTATATAATCTAATATAAATATATTAGTTGTAATAAAAGCTATTTAACCCTCTCCCACAATCATTTATAATAGCATCATTACTATTACAATACATTTACTAAGCCTATCTAAGTCTAAGTCAAAGACTATTTCTTATCAATCAATCCCATGTCAGCGGCAACCAACTCCAAAATTAAAACAACTGATATTTCATAAGCCAACAATAATTATTTATGTTTTAAAACATTTTTTATTCATATAAAATGATTTATTATTGGTTACATTTCCCATTTATATTCTGGATAACCAATTTAATGAATTATTAAGTACCCCATGAACGCTATTGATAATTGGTAATATGCAGTCACGCACAGTGGCCATGATGACAAGTTACTTTAATTACATAGCCTAAAATAAAAAGTGACTTCTTAAACTTTCCTTTTTGAAGCCTGCCTGTGGTCTACACTCATGAAATTTTGAAATTTGGCTATGTTATACATGATCTTATCAGCCTTTTTTAAAGATAAATCAGCGCTTTTTATAAAAAAAGTTATTGATCAGTGAAGTTCACCTATTTTCAAGTTCAATTTTCAAAGCTTTAACCTTGAAAAAAAACCAACAAATTAATTCTCAATAGAACAAGCAAGATGTCAGCTGTAACTGATTGGCGGATGTAGAATTTATTATTAATATTATTTTGCTAAAAATCTACGGTACTATAAAAGGCAAACCAACGATACCCTCAGTAAATTAAAAAGTGGAGGTCACCATTTTGACGAGTAATTACGATACCAGTTTTTCGGAGTATTTCTGGGCGATACAGTTAGTTTTTACCAAAGCATCAGTTCCCATATAAGCAGTAAGACAAGAGTTAGACAGGTTAATTTTAGAAAAGTAGTTATTGGAAAAAAATAACTAGGGCTATAACAAGGGTAAATGAATTGGTTGAACCAAAGTACTTGGTACATAAGCCTAGAGCCCTGGCCTCCTATAGTGTGATAGTGATTCAGAACATCATTGAACATCGTGTCAATCATGAACTTAATGACTTAAAAAAAATAAACAAATAAGCTTGGATGGAAACAACACTCAGCACTGTGCTAATAGTGAAGTGATTCTTTATTAATCAAATTTTTACTCAAAAGTTCCGTGTATCCTGGTTTAACCAAATCGTTTAACACACACAAAGGTATACTTTTGTATAAGTTTAATTTATGCTAGTTAATAAAAGTAAGGAAATGAGACTCAGTCAAGAGTGGTGAAGTGAGGAGAGGAACTACGCTACACTACACTCACTCAAAGAGTAAGTAATCTTGTACTCGCTGGGGGGTGGTGGAGGTGGGTAATGCTGCCTAAGACCTGGGCGAGGTGTAGCACCTAACGGACTGTTTGGAAGGTTAGAGATACCTTCTTTGAGATACGACTTTGACGTTCTTGATGAGATCCGTGTAGCAAACGTATCTGCCATCTTTCTATAAAAACAACATAGACAGTGCCAGGTATTTGACTGGTTTCTTCTGTCATAAAACAATTCGTATGAAAAACAACTTCAAATATTTCAAATTATTTTATAAAAAGGTATATTAACTTTTATAGATGTTTGCAAATAATTAATCTTAGATTAATCTTAAAAATTCTTAAATAAAATAGAGTCAATTTTCAAAATATATCACAAATACGTTTCATTTTAACTATAAGGCAAGTTTCCCAAATACTTTTGAGCTTTAATGTTGATATATATATATATATATATATATATATATATATATATATATATATATATATTATATATATATTTAAATATAATAATTAATTAATATATCTTATATATCACAAATATGTATTTTTTTATATATAAAAAAATTTTCACATATATTTTTGTTTTTTTATATATATATATATATATATATATATATATATATATATATATATATATATATATATATTATATACATATTTAAATACATTAATTAATTAATCTAGCTCCTCTCAAATGTTCAGCATGTTCTGAAATAGTTACGAATCTATTAGCTTCAAGAATAACTTTAAGTACAATCTAAATACAATCTAAGTACAATCTGGCAATAAACATCTTTTAATATACAGTCATTGTTTAGTCTAAGTGGATTAATGCGAAACAAAAAAAAATTGTAAGTAAAACAATTTATGTTAAGCTTAAATTTACAACTAGACAAAATAAAATTCGAACATTTCGGAAAATGCCTTCATCGGTAGAAAAAACAACAATACAAAAATTAATACAATTATAAATTAAATTTACATTATATATTTATAGCCTACCTATACCTATTTTGTCTAATCATAATTAAAGCTCATGAAATTAACATTATAAATTATGTTTTATTCACACAAGCTGTGTCTCATTAATGTAATTAAAAGCTTTATCGCAGCCCATTCCTTTTGATTTAGTAAAAGTGACTGTACCTTGATGAAAACATAGTATCAGAATAACATTACAATTTGAAGGGGAAAACAAACTATTAGCCTATAATTAACTAGAGATAACCAGTGGAAAACAACGGAATTACGGATTCACAGATGTCTCCCTCCCCTGCCCAGACCAGTCCCTTATTTTCTCTTGGGGACCTCTAGCGCCCTCCCTTTCTGCTCCCTTACCCCACCCCAGATAATGACTGTCGATCCGAATCACTTTCAGAATGTTTCCGACGCAATGTAAATCAAATTTTCTGTTTGCATGCGATGATTCAAAAAAACTTCACAAGCTCATGAAATTGTTGTGATGATCATGATTGATTACTTTGTTAGCGCTTGTGCCAAGCTATTTTAACTGCTCACACTCACAGCACTAGATGTGCTAAAATACATTTAAAGAAAAAAAGTAGTTAAACGTTTCTTAAATAAATTTTTATCAATGATTGTTCCTCGAGTATTGCGGCAAACTGTTCCACAATTTAGGCACAAAACATTAAAAAGAGCGCACCCCGTACGCCGTATGACTTCTTTCTGAGTCCATCCACTCTGGGAACTCTTACCGGATCTTTTGGGACTTTCAGGAAAGCCCAATTTCTATTACTTTAAAATCCATCAAAAGGATTGTTGATCTTGCAAGCCCCAACACTAGTTTTACTAACACTTCCATTTATAAAAAATGCATCAACTTTCATATTCTTAATTTTGCACTTGTTCATAAAACGAAAATAATTTCGTGTTTCCGCTGGCGCCGTTTAGTGTCGTTTACTGGATGTACGCACTCGTGACGCAAAATGCTGGGTTTCCCGCAGACGCTGATTGAAAAAAGTAATAAGAATTAAACAACCGCTAAAAACAAAATTTTTCGTAGAAATACTTCATATGAATTTTTAATTATTATATTTAATATTAATGTTCGAATGACCACTCGTTTTTAAACTGCAGATTTATTTCACCAACTATTTCTAAAAAAGTACAATAAAAATTAAATGTTAAAGCACCATAGGCACTTGCAATATTTTTGTACGAATGTTTTTTAACGTAGTTATCGGGATTTTTTTCCCTTTGAAATCAGTGGCAATAATATTTCTTTCATCTTCCACTTTAAAATCGAACAAAAAAAAAAAAAAAAAAAAAAAAAAAAAAAAAAAAAAAAAAAAAAAAAAAAAAAAAAAAAAAAAAAAAAAATTGGGAGGTTGGAGGTGGGGGTTAAAAAATTGAAATAATGTGTTGTAATCGGCAACGAGTCTATGTGTCAAGTTTTAGCTTGGTAGGTTGACGGGAGTGGGTCAATTATATGTCCGAAGATGTTGTAAACTCAGCCAGCAAGAAACACACGAACAAATACGAATATACTATTAATATCAAGAATTTAAAAAAAAACATGTATAAGCTTTTCTTATATATATATATTAATATAAATCAAGCTTTGCAACATGCAATCTTTAATTATATTTGAATATTTTGAAAATACTAATTTCAGTAAAAATTAAGTATAGTTAAATTCGTACATTTGGAAATGAAAATGGATGAGGATTCATAATCTTATATTTTTTCGTTTAACATTTTAATCTTCATAAAATATATATAAATAATAAATATTTTTAGCTAATCTTGCTTAATTTAAGATTTTAAAATCCGATCAATGTTAGACCTAATTTACATTCTTAAAATTCTACAACATGAAATTGTTCCATTGACATCGGTGTTTAGTATAGCCTTAAATAGCAACTTCCGAAACTATGGACGCCAACATTTCGCTAAGCATTGGATGACATGAAAAAGATATAAAAAAGCAAAAAGGTGGGTAATTATAAGGTTTTAGGAGAAAGGTTTACCAGGTTGGTTACATAGCTTTAATTATAATTATATTCTTGAAATAAATTAGTTCCTTTACCTTTTACACCGAGTGTAAGTGTGTGTTAGTGTTAGACAAGACAAGCGTCTGTCAAGCGTACCCTAACTGAGTCAGACCAGACGCACTCGTGCGTGACCCAGATTCAGATCAAGTCAAGTTTTACTATTATAAATTGTGAATAAATGAGACTTAACGCGTTTCTTTGATTTTTATTGTTTTATTTTTATCTCTAAATGTCCTGATGATTAAGGAACTAGTCTACTCTACATTAACTATAATAAATGATAGAAATACCTATGACTATATTTATCAGCTATCATTGACTATCTTACTTATCTGACTATCATATTATATTCATAGTAACTAGAATCATAGTCTAGGTAGGTCTACTAACTATATAACTTATATACTGTATAATATTAAAAATTAATATGATAATATCATAAGAAAAGACCAGACATGTCTTTCTATCCATATTTTTTTTCTGTTTGGAATGCTCAGCGCCAGTGGGAAAGCTAGCGCTTTTGCTTCACAAGTGTTTATATCGAGTAAACAACACTAAACTAATCGTTTTCATCATATAACTTTAATTAAGAAAACAAAAGTTGTCATATTTTTTAATGAATGAAAGTGTTAGTAAAACAAGTGTTGAGGCTGGTAAGATCAATTACCTTTTTGATGAATTTTTAATGATATTTTAAATCTGATATTACAGTGGCACTTCCTTTTCCACTTTCTGCTCAAGTGGACATCAAAGACTGTTCAATATTGATCCTTCTTTCCTGCCCCTTTTGTCAACATGGTTAGTCTTTCACTCCTACTCAGCCTGTTGACCAAGTAGCACATTGAATTATCTCTATCAATTGTATTTATTTTTAGTTTATAGTGATTTTCATTTCATCATATTTTTATTTAGGATGGCTCGAATCAAGTTTGCATCCGACTTTGATAAATCAGTACTTCTTAATAATTTTGAAAATCGATGTTGGATTCAAGTTGGTCCAGAAGATGACTGGAATTTTTATTGGTACATAAAGTTTATATTTTTTACGATTAGCCAAGTTAGATTTAATAATATAAAATTAATTTTGTCCATATATATGTATAATTTGTAAAAAAATATTTGACATTAGCTGTAAACAAGTGAAATAGGTATTTTGAAAAACAAAATCAATGTATTTAATGATTTAAACCAATGGTGGCCAAACCGCTGCTCGCGAGCCGCATGCGGCTTTTCTGTGTTCACATTGTGGCTCGCGAACAATTTATGAAATTAAAACTTTTCGTTTGAAATATATAATATCACAAATAAATGAAAGTTAAAAAAAAAAAATCTTGACTGAAACTAAGGGTTGAAAATAATTTGGGATTGATTTAAATTTTAAAAGTTGAAGGGAGCGATTGTTTTCTGATTAGTTGGTGATGTGAACTGTTACATTTCTGGTTCCGGTAGAACTCTGCATTTCAAAGTATTGACCATTACTGTTAGTCCTACTAAAGTTAGTAACTTATTATTTAAAAGTTTAAATCAAATATGGCAACAAGTTGCAGGAAACGAAAATATAAAGAAGAAAATAGAAGTCCTCTACCAGAATGGGAAGAGGACTTTGCATTTATCGATAAAGACGGTGGGCCAATTTGCTTCATCTGTCAAACACCGCTAGCAAATTACAAAGCTAGCAATTTGAAGCGACACTATGAAAAAAGTCAATTGTGTAACTGTAACGCATATATTTCTTCAATTGTGTAACTGTAACGCATATATTTCTTCAACATTCGGTCAGGATTTAAACAATTGAAATGTTTAAATCATTAAATTCGAATAAAAAGTAATTTTCAAAAATAAATCACAAAAGGAATTTTTAATTGCGAGTGGGGCCAAGACTCATAGTGCTTCAATGCGGCTCTCAACAATTGTTTTTTATTTTAAAACTGGCTCTGAGTTACTACAGGTCTGGCCACCCCTGATTTAAACCTTGAAACTTGAAACCTTCTTCAAATTTAAATAAATTTGTAATATCTCTAGGACAATTTTTTGCAAAAGAATATATTTTCCATACAAGTACCATTAAGAATTTTAAAAACAATTTGACCACCTCAACTTAACTAGAACTTTTGATCCAATTTTAAAATGAAAGGATGCTTTTAATTGCTCTGTAATTATGTTTGTTGATTTTTGTTATATCTTTGATTGCAAACTGGAGCAATTTAATGTAATGTAAATGAGAATAACTGTTTTAGATAATGAGCTGTTTATTCTGATTTTAGGGCAGGAGTTCACAATATTAGGAATGTTTTCAGTGTTGAAAGTGGGTTCAGATTACAGGATGACCAGTAAGTATACAAAAATGGAGAAATTACTTTTAATTTTTCATATCAGTGATTCTCAAATTTTTTAGAATGCTGTAGCACTTAGACCATTTGCATAAAAATTATTTACCACAATAACTTGTTTAGTAAGTCTAACTTTATGTCTGTAAAGATGTTTGTTGATGTTTTTAACATCTCTAATTGCAAAGTGGAGCAATTTAAATGTAATGTAATTGAGAATTGCTGTTTTAGATAACTTCTTATGTTAGATATGCCTTCTAAAGCCCCCATTTTTATGTCAGGAAAAGCCTGAAAACTGTATAACCTGTTTTTAAGTTTAGCCAACAACCCCACTTATTCTACTGAAATATTTGCAAAAAAAGTTGGATTTAGAATGGGTATGTTTGGTACTCAGTCCTTTTTTTTCACTTCCCTTGTCCCATCTATCTGGTAATGTGCATAAGATCTAAGATATTGAGATTAGATGAGACTCAATGTCTGGGAGGCAAATGACATTAAAATCAGATCACATGGAATTCCTAAAAACGAGCTGTAATTTTTATTCTTGCACCTGGTGTCTAGATCGGGATCACCATATATCAAGCTTAATACAACAGTCTCCACTTATACATTTTTTTTGGCGCCTGAAAAAAATCCTGATGAGATTTACAAGCAGAAGGCCTTATTTGTATTCAAGTTAGAAATTAAACTACTAAGTATGAGCTCTCTTACAGATTCAATTACAATTTAATTTCCAGTCCAGCATTTAAATTAAATTATTTTTCCATTGCAACAGAGTCATAAATCATTTTCCCAATCATGTGGAACTGACAAGAAAAGATTTAATGGTGAAAAACATCAAGAGGTATCGAAAAGATCTTGAAAAAGAAGGAAGTCCTACGGCCGAAAAGGATGAACTGGGACGCTTTGTACATTTGGGTTTGCGAATAATGATAGAAAAATAATGTGTGGAATGTAATTTACAATAAGGCATGCTAAAATTTGCTAAATTATTAGGAGAGTAACAAAATGTTTTAAATTCTCTCCCTAAATTTGTAAAACAATAACTAATGTTTTAATTACTCTTAATAATATTAAAAGACATTTGATCATATATTGATATCACTTGATATTTAACATGAGGGTCCTAGTATTTTGATCCAACCAGATGCAATCCTAAAGAAACGACTGCATCAGAAGCATAATTAATAGCAGTCACCAGCATTTAGAGTTTTTATTCATTGCAGTAATGCAATCCAGAAATGTTGTACCACTTAGAAAAATGATCAGGTTATCAGTGTTTAAAAAATGTATTATTCAATTGAACATTTTGCCTTGGTAAAAGCTACTTTCACTATTTTTCCTCAAAACAGTTATTTTTTCTATTCAAATGTATCAAATATGTTTTTTTTAATGATTGCTGCATGCTTTTATTTCTATTCATTTAATTCCTTGTGATGAATGTGCTTTTCAAAATTTTTGTACTACAGACTTTTAAATGTAATTTAGTTTATTTTTCCCCACAGATTTCATCCCACAGACTTTTATGTTACCAGCTGATTACAATCTTTTTGTGGAGGAGTTTAGAAAAAATCCAAACACAACTTGGATCATGAAACCTTGCGGCAAAGGTGAGTTTAAGAAGATGGACAAAATATTGAACATATGTTCTTTTGGATATGGTGTTTTGATTAAGAATCATTAAAAGTTTTTGTAGTGAATCAGGCAAGTGTCTTGTAGACCAGCACTTTCCCAAACTTTTAAGTTTGGTGGACCAGTTGACAAGTTTCCCATCGCACTAGTGCTTCTCAAACTTTTAAGTTTGTGGACCAGTTGACAAGTTTCCCATCGCACCAGTGCTTTCACAAACTTTCAAGTTTGGTGGACCAGTTGCCAAGTTTCCCATCGTACCAGTGCTTTCCCAAACTTTTAAGTTTGGTGGACCAGTTGACAAGTTTCCCATCACACCAGTGCTTTCCCAAACTTTTAAGTTTAGATGAAATAGATAGGTGAACACTGTGAGTTAAATACTTCACTTTTTTGGATGATAATAATATGACAGGAAAGTCTTCGGGTCAGAGTAATCGAGATGGGTGCTGGGTACTAAAGGTGTCACAATTGAATGACTACGGTGGGCAGTGTGAACCATTTCTGGTACCATGTTATTTAAACTGAAACAGGTAGTCTAGCCAAGTATGGGAAAGTGTGTGCCCATCCTGTATTGTTGTGACGTTGGGGAAATATACCTGGTACTCAGATATTGGAGTTTGAGATGGAGAATGAGACATTCAGTGAGTAGAAAGCCTGATACAAGCTGTGTCTTTTATATCTAGTGCAATGCAGTCAGATAGGAGTTGTGAAGGACAGTAGGAACTATTCTTGAAATTATTTTTTTTATAAACAAACATAAGAATTCATGTCCAAATAAATTCTTGTTGATGTCATGTTTCTTCTGATGAATTTCCACAACAAAAAAGTGTTGTAACAAAATTTTGACCATAGTTTTGGAAGCTGCATTCTCTGCCACAATCAACATCAAGTCAAAAACAAACCTAATACTTTGACTGGTGAACATTTACAAATCTTTTGAGGGCAGGTGCTACTGTTAACTACCTCAAATTAAGAAAATTGTTAATACCATTTATATCAAAATATATCATTAAAAAATGCCATAGTTTTTATTCCCTTTTTCTTATACTCTTGGTGACCTGATAATGTTATTGAATTGGCTATATGAATCTTTATGCCTAATTTAAATGTAAGGAGCAATTAAAATATAAATAATTTTATAAAAAGTAAAAAAAAAATTTTTTTTTTTTAAAATGTCATTTGCAGACCTGGGGTTTATGGAAAATGGTTTTTTTTGCCCATGTAGTCAAAAAGGTGGGACAGCACTAATCTAATTTGATGAGACTTGATTAACTATATTACTATTAAATAGTAGCCGTTAACACTTATATCTTGTTAATGCTGTTTTAAATTTAAAGTAAAGACATAATCTGCATTAACAGTTTTTTGTGTGGCCTACTTACGCTTTCATTGAGAATACAAAACAAATTTTGTAGAATAAAAAAATCATTTTAGCTAACAGTTGTCATTTAATGAGAATTTTTTTTTTATTGACAAGAAAATAAAATAAAATCAAAGACAGTGCTATGTTTTAACATTTAATATGGCACATAGCACCAGCTTCCCAGAATCTTCTTAAAGTGTATAACGAGGGGTATTTTTGTGCAAAATATAATTGATAATTTAAGGTTGTTTTGAAATGAGACTCAAACGACATGTAACTACACCCACCCCCTCCCCAGTTTCTTGACTAAAGTTGTGCAGACCAGCAATGTAAGATTCGCTCATTGGCGCTGGTCCACCGGCCACCATTGTTGTAGAGTGCAAAACTCTATTACTTCTCCGTGTTACAACATTAAGCATACTTTAATTTTGTAATCAATAGCCTGACATAATTTATTCTCATCACAGCTCGAGGAATAGGTATATTTCTAGTAAACAAGTTATCACAACTGAAGAAGTGGTCCAGAGATGGGAAAGGCAACTCGTACGTTTTTTTTAATATTAATTTATTTAAATTTGATTCTGGCTTTCATGTTTAATTAATACAGAGATGAAACATGATTTATCCCTACAAATAGCTTTCAAATTTTAGCATGGTTTCCTCTAAGCTTGTTCAAAAGATCGGGGAGTTTGTCAGCTAGATGGAAATGTTAAAGATAACCTAATCAAACACATGAATTGCAATTTTTTTCACAATTTTGTGTATTTACTGACTTACTATTCACAGTTGACTTGTTTAATTACAGTCTATATCTGAATTGTAATGTGAAGTTTTTAAAGCTAATTTCCCATCTGCAGCTTCACACCCCCAACGGCCAAAGAGACATATGTGATCTCTAAGTACATTGACAACCCACTTCTGATTGGAGGAAAAAAGTTTGACCTACGTCTTTATGTCCTCGTCACCTCATTTAGACCTCTCAAGTGTTACATGTAAGTAGCCAACTTAAATGGAAAGAAATGTTTATCAAGTCATTCAACAGAGTTTATATTTTTTTATCAATGAATGTTGCTATTCCTTCAGTCACACCTTTTACCTTAGCGACTCTGTAAGAAATAATTATTTTCCACTGCAGGTTTTGGCCATGGAAATGTATGACTGGCCATGGAAATGTATGACTTTGATAAAATTATCATGGTGCCTCATGAAAACTTGGAATGAAGAATGAACTCTAAAACAGCTTTAAATATCTTGATTCCGCATACAGGTATCGACTAGGATTTTGTAGATTTTGCACTGTGAAGTACAACGCAAGCTTGAATGAACTGGACAACATGTTTGTACACCTGACCAATGTGTCTATTCAAAAGCAAGGGGTGAGAGATTTAACCATTTAATTTGATTAACCAGTTTGTACATTAAATTTAAATATAATAGAAGGACCTCAGGAGATTTTAAACTCCTGTTATCTGTGGAACATAATATATGTTAAGCTGATGGTTAGATGCAGGAGTAAAGAAAAAAAAAGCTATAATTTATTTGAAAAAAACTACAGATGATGAAATTAAACATTTTTTCATGTAGATTAAGTTTGAAGTTTGATATAACAGTTGAAACTATATGCAATCATGTCATTTTTGGACTCTGCAGCTGGCGCCCTCTACCCCAGCATTTTTAATTGATATTTTTAAATATATTCAACCCCTTGAGTTGTGTTTTGTCCACCTTGTTCCATGTGAGGCCTTCTTTCATCACTTCTCTCAAATAAAAGAAGATAACAATTTTAAAATTTAAAAAACATTAAAAATGACTTGTCTTAAATTAAATTTATATTGCCAAGCTTAGGTTTGTCCTAACTTCAATTTATATAGCCAATCTTTAAATAAACTTGTCCTAACTTCAATTTATATAGCCAGTCTTTAAATAAGGTTGTCCTAATTTCAATTTATATTATCAGTCTTTCAGAGCAATACTTTATCTAGTATGTACCACCTGAAAATGTTTGTCTCTATACATGGCTTGACCACAGATTATAAGATTGACATTTAGTGGATAAAATCTTTAAATAATACATGATTTTTAACACATGCTAGATGGAATATTACATTGCTGTTAGATTTAGTAAAACTCAAGTATTTAATCAATTTATTTGTAGGAGGATTACAATGCAATTCATGGAGGAAAATGGACAACACAAAATCTGCGACTCTTCCTGGAGAGCACCAGAGGGAAGGAAGTGTCAGACAAACTTTTCGATGAAATCAATTGGCAGACAGTTCATTCCTTGAAGGCTGTGGCTGTAAGTAAAACAAGATAGGGAATTTTAATATTTAGATTAATATTGATTTTTCTTCATTGAATTATAATTCATTGTTGTTATAACTCACTTATGGGCATGCCTGAATTTTTAAATTATTCCTTTATTATTAAAGATCCAGGGATACACATATCTCCCTATTAATTATAAATCTAAAAAAATTCTATAATCTATAGGAGAATTTGATTGACATCTTTTACAGGGTGTTGTTTCCAATGACAGACATTGCTTTGAGTGTTATGGGTAAGAAATGTAGATGTAATTGATAACTTATCTAACCTTTATTCTTGTAGACTATTAGTCTTTATGACTTGTGATGAGATTGAGAGCCTGTACATGTATAATTTATCAAAGATAATTTGCAAGCATTAAAGCTTCATTCATATTTTGGGTACTATTTAAAAAAATTAAATCTAAATCTTGAGATATTTCAAATACTTTGGATTAAAAATTAATGTTTTTCTCAGTGACAGTTGTGATTATTTGCGCAGGTATGACATCATCATTGATGATAATCTCAAACCTTGGCTCATAGAAGTAAGTTTTTAAACTCTCTAACCTCCTTTTAACCCCTTCAAAATAATAATATAGCTGTGTCTGTTTTGTAGCTTCATAATTCTTACTTTGTTATATTGTTAAGCAGTTTAAAAATGAAAAGTTGTGTCAAACAGGTGAATGCCTCACCATCCCTGTCTGCCACCACATCCAGTGATAGAATTATGAAGTACAGGCTGATTTCAGATGTCATCAATATTGTGATACCTCCCGGGGAATTACCAGAGTAAGCTCTAAAACTGTTAATTTTATTTAGTCTCAAATATCTTAGTGAGTTCATGTAATTTGTTTTACCTGATTCTTTATTATATTTAATCATGTGATTCTATTTATATCATATGTCTGTGAATGGTCATATGTCTAACCATGAAAATTCATAAAATAAATTATGTTAATGTATTCATTTTATTATACGTTCCAGTGTAAGGTGGAGCAAGATCCCTGACAAGGAGAACTACGGCCATTTTGATTTGTTGTAAGATTTTTCGTATACTAATCGTGTATCTTCCATCAATATTTATTTATTAAAGATAATCAGGGGGGGGGGTTGAAAATATGATGAGATGGAATAATTACCATTGTCATTATCATTACACTCAGCCCCACTGCAAGTGTCTCTATGAACATTGAATATTATATATAAATAGAAATTTCTGTATGTTCGTTTAAGTTTACCCACTGATTAATAGGTTACACTGTTGAAATTTTGGCTACAGTAAGAAATATAACTGGGAAAATATTAATTTAAAAAAAAAATGGATCTGCTAAATAAAATAAAAAACCCATCCTGTCATGGTTGTGACATCCATGATATTGTGATATCCATGAAATTGTGACATCCATGAAATTGTGATAGTTCTAGCACACAATGAGATATCTGAAGATGCACCAATTTGATGAAGTAGTTAATGTTAATTTAATAACTTTTTAAGTCATCTTTCATTTCCAGATTTCCTTTTTACTTAGATAATAAAAAAAAAATCATTCGTTTTGTATAGAATAAATTGGTTGCAGAAGAGTAAGAAAACAGCAACCAAGTAACGCATCATAGAGTATAATCTAAATCTCACCAGATCTTTAATTTCTCAATGAATCTAAGTAATTCATTTGATAAATTCATGCCTACTACCAATACACCATTATATTTAAATAAATTATTTTAAATTTAATAATTTAATTAAGCAGCCATGAAAATGCTTAAGTGTTGAGCTACTGTAAAATGTATATCTTACATCACGAAGGATTAACAAGTGAGTTAGTTTCCTTGTTCCAGATATGACGAGGAGTTAGCCAACTTAGATCTAAACAATCCAGACTTGCGTGCCAAGACAGGAACGATGAGCTCTGCTATGAGAGGAAACCCAAGGGACATTCGCAAGGGATCTCAAGCCACTTGGAAATGAATTAACTACTCTTGAAAAAGATCTCAGTTAATTGATGAAAAGTAATCCATTTACTTTAAACAGCTATTTATTATTCAGGCCAACAAAAACATTCTAGGAAAATGGATTTTTGGCAAAGTAAAACATTTTTGTTGGGCCAATGAAAACATTTTAGTTGGGCAACTGTAATTAAAAACTAAGTACACATTTCCTTAAAAGAATTGTATTGGGTTAAGAATGGATAAAACCATGTGTTGCATATTATATATTACACAGCAGGTCAACTCAACTCAAATTAAAAAAAGCATCCCTGTGAAAGGGCTGCTTAACTGCTTCTAATCTTTTCACTACCTTAAAACAGCTACTTTGTTACAAGCAGTGAACTTCACAATTAGGTCAATTGACCAAACAGTAATCCACTCTTGACTTATAGGATTTTATTTAATCCTCTTGTTAGGGTAACTCTAAATGAAAAAGACTCAGCGAACTGAGTTATCGTTTCATCTTGAAGTAAATAGAAAAAAAATCGGCCCTTGACCTTAAAATTGGTTTGTAAAAATATTTAAAGCTGAAACTGTTTCATGTTTTTTGTTCATAAACATGACATCATAAATATGACATGACAAATATGACATTACAAAATGACAGCATAAACTTAAAGAGAACATTCAAATATCATTCCAATTTGATTTTCATTTCCATTAGTTTAAGTTTAAATTTTTCTCTTTATTAAAACATTTACAAAAATTAGAATCAAGTTAATACATAGGTTTTTTTGTTTCTTTTTTTTTTGTTTGTTGTTTTTATTTATCTGTCAATGTTTGTGTACACTAAATAATTGTAAATAAAAATAACGGTGCTCTACAATATCACACAAACTAATTCCAAATAAAAAAAATTTTTCTTGCCACTTTGTATCTATTTAAAGAAATAAAAAATAGTAGCATCTCAAATTTTTTGGCAAGGTTGGTTGGTATTTTTAAGATTTCCCAGTTAAATTTAAAATGTATTGATTTCTTAAGATAGTGTAAAAAAATACATTAACTTTTAATGAAATCCCCACTGTAATCATTGAAGACTGTACCAAAACCTGGAGTGATTTGCCACTGAATAGGTCCTTTTCACTAATTTTCAGTATTTCATTTATTTCACAACATAAAATTACATTTATTTTTGAGACGCTTTAGTCTTCACACCAACTCCTGATTGAAGAATATTTTATAAAAATCAGTTTTACAGACTTCTTTTTAGACCCCTCCCCCCAAAAAAGTGTTTAAAATATGGTCATTTCAATTGATGATTCAATAAATATAATGCTAAAACTAAAATGTAAAAAAGGGAATGAAACAAAGTAACAGATTTTTTTTAATTGAGACGAAGAAAGTCATCATCTTTTTACTTATTATAGTCTTTATTTCTGGTGAACCAGCATTAAAAAATAAATGTTATAAATAGATTTTAAAAATACAGGAATGAGAGTTGTGTTAAATGAGGTCATTCATGATTAAAATCGTCATTGTGGTCAGCTGCTCATATTTATACATATTATTATCTCACCTGGTGGTGTCTTACTGTTGTTACTAACTGAGTCAATGAAATTTGGTTATAGTTGTTTTCATTAAAGATGATGAATACACTACAACAACCACAGACATGGAGTAAAAATAAAATCAAATCAAGTTTATCTCAGCCAGAGTGCTGAAATAGGTGTGGAGGACTGCATTGCTACATGGGTTTTGGAGTTTATGGCTGGATGGGCAAAGGGTTTTATGGCTAGATGTGAAAAGGGTTTTATGTCTTAGATGGGAAAAGTGTTTTATGGGTAGATGTGAAAATGGTTTATGGCTAGATGAGAAAAGGGTTTTATGGCTAGATGTAAAAAGGGTTTTATTATTAGATTTGAAAAGGGTTTTATGGCTAGATGTGAAAAGGGTTTTATGGCTAGATGTGAAAAGGGTTTTATGGCTAGATGTGAAAAGGGTTTTATGGCTAGATGTGAAAAGGGTTTTATTACTAGATGTGAAAAGGGTTTTATTTTATTATTAGATGTGAAAAGGGGTTTATGGCTAGATGTGAAAAGGGTTTTATGGCTAGATATAAAAAGGGTTTTATTATTAGATTTGAAAATGGTTTTATGGCTAGATGTGAAAAGGGTGTTATTACTAGATGTGAAAAGGGTTTTATTTTATTATTAGATGTGAAAAGGGGTTTATGGCTAGATGTGAAAAGGGTTTTATGGCTAGATATAAAAAGGGTTTTATTATTAGATTTGAAAATGGTTTTATGGCTAGATGTGGAAAGGGTTTTATGGCTAGATGTGAAAAGGGTTTTATGGCTAGATGTGAAAAGGGTTTTATGGCTAGATGTGAAAAGGGTTTTATTACTAGATGTGAAAAGGGTTTTATGGCTAGATGTGAAAAGGGTTTTATGGCTAGATGTGAAAAGGGTTTTATGGCTAGATATAAAAAGGGTTTTATTATTAGATTTGAAAATGGTTTTATGGCTAGATATGAAAAGGGTTTTATGGCTAGATGTGAAAAGGGGTTTATGGCTAGATGTGAAAATGGTTTTTATGGCTAGATGGGAAAAGTGTTTTATGGCTAGATGGGAAAAGTGTTTTATGGCTAGATGTGAAAATGTTTTATGGCTAGATGTGAAAAGGGTTTTATTATTAGATGTGAAAAAGGGTTTATGGCTAGATGTGAAAAGGGTTTATGGCTAGAAGTGAAAAGGGGTTTATGGCTGGATGTAAAAAGGGTTTTATTATTAGATTTGAAAATGGTTTTATGGCTAGATATGAAAAGGGTTTTATGGCTAGATGTGAAAAGGGTTTTATGGCTAGATGTGAAAATGTTTTTTATGGCTAGATGGGAAAAGTGTTTTATGGCTAGATGGGAAAAGTGTTTTATGGCTAGATGTGAAAAGGGTTTTATATTATTATTAGATGTGGTGAAAAGGGGTTTATGGCTAGATGTGAAAAGGGGTTTATAGCTAGATGTGAAAAGGGTTTTATGGCTAGATGTAAAAAAGGGTTTTATTATTAAATTTGAAAATTGTTTTATGGCTAGATATGAAAAGGGTTTTATGGTTAGATGTGAAAATGGTTTTTATGTCTAGATGTGAAAAGGGTTTTTATGTCTAGATGGGAAAAGGGTGTTATGGCTAGATGTGAAAAGTGTTTTATGGCTAGATTTGAAAAGGGTTTTATGACTAGATGTGAAAAGGGTTTTATTATTAGATATGAAAAGGGGTTTATGGCTAGATGTGAAAAGGGTTTATGGCTAGATGTGAAAAGGGTGTTATGGCTAGATGTAAAAAGGGTTTTATTATTAGATTTGAAAATGGTTTTATGGCTAGATATGAAAAGGGTTTTTATGGCTAGATGTGAAAATGGTTTTATGGTTAGATTTGAAAATGGTTTTATGGCTAGATATGCAATGGGTTTTATGGCTAGATGTGAAAGGGTTTTATAGCTAGATGGAAAAAGTGTTTTATGGCTAGATGTGAAAAGTGTTTTATGGCTAGATGTGAAAAGTGTTTTATGGCTAGATGTGAAAAGAGTTTTATGACTAGATGTAAAAAGGGTTTTATTATTAGATGTGAAAAGGGGTTTATGGCTAGATGTGAAAAGGGTTTATGGCTAGATGTGAAAAGTGTTTTATGGCTAGATGTAAAAAGGGTTTTATTATTAGATTTGAAAATGGTTTTATGGCTAGATATGAAAAGGGTTTTATGGCTAGATGTGAAAAGTGTTTTATGGCTAGATGTGAAAATGGTTTTTATGGCTATATGGGAAAAGTGTTTTATGGCTAGAAGGGAAAAGTGTTTTATGGCTAGATGTGAAAAGTGTTTATGACTAGATGTGAAAAGGGTTTTATTATTAGATGTGAAAAGGGGTTTATGGCTAGATGTGAAAAGGGTTTATGGCTAGATGTGAAAAGGGGTTTATGGCTAGATGTAAAAAGGGTTTTATTATTAGATTTGAAAATGGTTTTATGGCTAGATATGAAAAGTGTTTTATGGCTAGATTTGAAAAGGGTTTTATGGCTAGATGTGAAAATGTTTTTTATGGCTAGATGGGAAAAGTGTTTTATGGCTAGATGGGAAAAGTGTTTTATGGCTAGATGTGAAAAGGGTTTTATGACTAGATGTGAAAGTGTTTTTATGGCTAGATGTGAAAGGGTTTTTATTGCTAGATGTGGAAAGTATTTTATGCATATGTGTGGAAAGGGATTTTATGACAAGATGGGAAAAGTGTATTATTGGCTAGATGTGAAAGTGTTTTTATGGCTAGATGTGAAAGGGTTTTTATTCCTAGATGTGGAAAGTATTTTATGCATATGTGTGGAAATGGGTTTTATGACAAGATGGGAAAAGTGTATTATTGGCTAGATGTAAATCGTATTTTAAGGCAAGACGTAAAAAGGGCTTAGATGGCTAGATAAGCAAAGGGTTTTATGGCTGGAAAGTCATAACATTTGCTAGATATGGGAGGGGGGGGGAGGTTAGTATTATTTAATGTGTATAGTGTTCAAAGGCTTTACGAAATGTATGAGTATGGCTAAATGCTGATAGAATTGTATTGCAAGTATACGGGTCGGGTGTTCTGGCAAGATGAGCGTTTTGTTGTATGACTAGATTTATGAGCTTATGGATTCACGTCCAATCAGACGTAGGGTGGTATGACTAGATATAGGAGCTTATGGTGTTACGTCCAATCAGACGTAGGGTGGTATGACTAGTTATATGACCTTATGGTGTTACGTCCAATCAGACGTAGGTTTGTATGACTAGATTTATTGGCTTATGGTGTTAAGTCCAATCAGACGGCCATGACGTTTTTCTTATGTCTTTTCCTTGAACTGATGACCTGAAGCTGAGCTTCGACCAATCAAAATACATCTCCAGCACAGTGGCGTAGGATTCGTGAAGAAGTGGGGCTGTGAAAAACTGGACCCGCCCCCGGGAGGCACGACCCCCTAGTTACGCCCCTGCTCCATTTATTACAATGACTTTTTAATTTTTTTACATTTCAACGCCATTATTGGCCAGTATATGCCTCTGGAAATCACTACCAAAAAATGACATGACCTAGACTAATTATAATTACAGATGGACATTGATTGGTTACTTTCTTTTATCACATTCGTTTATTATCATTATAATTAATAAATGTGAACAGGTATTTTACATTTTATGAGATATGCCATAAATTCAATTTAAGATCACATACAAAAAAATGAGATCACATTTTGGCGATGATGACAGTAGGCCTACATCACAGACCATTGTTTTGAAAAAGGAATACATACAAAAAAAATATATTTAAATAAATAATTTAGCATAAAATATGTTCATTCATGAACTTCTCGTGGAAAGTCTTAAGAACACGCATATAAAAGTCAGCTGAGGTAATTTAAATAAATGAATGATTTAACAAGTGTTACATTCACTGCAAGGACACTTATTTATTTGCACTTATTGATGTGCACTTATTTGTGTGCACTTATCTGTGTGCACTTATTTGAGTGCACTTATTTATTTTTACTTATTTGTATGCATTTTTATTTACACTTATTTGTATGCATTTATTTATGTGCAATAATTTATGTGCACATATTTGTGTTCACTTATTTATGTACACTTATGTGTGTGCACTTATTTTTTTGCACTTATTTGTGTGCATTCATTTATACGCACGTACCTATTTGCACTTATTTATGTGCACTTATTTGTATGCACTTATTTATGTGCCTCACCATAATATATTTTTTCCATCCTTTAATTTATCCTGGACTCAGGTATTTTTGTTGCGGGATATGGATGGGCATCTTTGAACCACATCACTCCTAGTTCCCGACATCCAGGAAGAGTGCTGAAATCTCGTGGACAGCTTAACGTAGTCACGTGGTACCATTGAATGCAATAATATGCTTTGACCACTCATACTGTTTATACATTTTTGTCCCCCCCCCCCACACACACACACACGCACTCCACCCTTTCCCTGTCCTTCCAATGTTGTTTTATGCAAGGGAACTATGACTAGAAGAAGCTACCTCATTATAGAGTTGGATTGTAATTTTAAAAAAAGGAAATCTCTCTAGGCCTACATGTAGGCCTGGGTGGCCTGCATCTTAACCTGCTGTAGGCCTGGGTGGCCTGCATCTTAACCTGATGTAGGCCTGGGTGTGTTCATTAAACTTTAACTTTTCCTTATTATCAATCTTTTTTTGTGTATTTAGTTGAATTGGATACCTGTATGTTATTCATTGTTTTGACATTGAACTACACCGTCTCGAAGATAGTACAAGACGGTCAAACAAAGAGAGATAGCCCAAATGAAATACAAAATATTATATAATATTTTAGTTATCTTTCTTCGTCCCCCAAAAATCTGACTCAGAAGAAATTGAAAAAAAATCAAAAAAAAAATCATAAAAATGAATTATTAACTTAAATTTTGAATTTTTCATTGAGTGAGGAGCCCATAAAATAGTAATCTCACTGATCGTGGCCTTATTAGCCTGTTCATTATAGCTGAATTACTATCTTAGCAAACTTAAGCTAATAAAATCCCATTCAGGCTTCACTTCAGCGGAAGCTTGCGTGCCTATATTTCTCTGGTGCATTCCGAGACTGCATGCGCGCGCATCGCTTACAAGGATCTACCAGACAAAAGAACACCGCACGTCTTCTGCACTTATCACGTGACGAACACCAATGGCGCAGATCACGTGATCAAACGATCGTATCAAAATCACAAAATGTAATATTTTGTAAAAAATGTGTAGAGTGCAGTTTATCATTTAAAGCAGCGGTTCTCAACCGAGGAGGGGGGGGGGAGAGGGGGAATTACACATATTATATCCAGGACAGTGTTTCCTTATCTTTTTTTTTTTTTTGCCACACGCCCCCCCCCCCCTTACCTCTGAAAAAATATTAATGCTCCCCACTCCTTTTTTTTTTTTTTTTGGGGGGGGGAGAGGGGGAATTAAACATATTATATCCAGGACAGTGTTTCCTTATCTTTTTTTTTTTTTGCCACACGCCCCGCCCCACCTTACCTCTGAAAAAATATTAATGCTCCCTACTCCTTTTTTTTTCTTTTTACTAGCGGATGTGTTAAAATAAAAGTAGTTCCTGTGCTTCACTTCACCTAGACAGACTAGAGCTTGACAGACTAGAGCTTGTAAGTGTATGCCGCGAGATTCAAGGACTGTAAGTGAAATAATAGTGCAAATCATTGAATGGCAAACAATAACAGTGAATGACAAATAAAAACTGTCCTATGTAACACCACCCAAAGAAAATAACGAAAGTATGGGAAAACTGGAAAACAACAAACGTGTCGGCAGGAAGCCTTCTTGGACGAAAAAACAACAGGAAAAAAAATAGGAGAGATGACTGCGTTCAGTTTGAAGCAAGAAGCATTACAAAAAAAAAAAAAAAGATGGAGAAAAATGGGAAAAAGACAGTGCAAAACCAAAACAAACCCAAACACTTTCTATTCCACTAGAGTCAATGACTGAGACAGATACAAACTATTGAATGCATTTCTATCAATTTGTTTGATCAAGCGTTAGGACGTTTTTGCACTAAACTGTCTTCCCCCATCTGGTAATGGTTAACTTAACAAATAGCTCATGTTACTTTCGGATGCACCATGTGGAAAAAAAGAAAAAAAAAGGACATCAAGCCGCATGGACACAGCTCTTGAATAGGATAGGTTGTTTCCTTTTCATCGCTACTAGTGTGTCTAATTTGAGGGCATTGGCGTAAGAAAGAGAGGCGGTATAAAAAAAAAGGGGGGGGGGCAGTTCGCCGCAGGCGCCTTTTATTTCTTCTTCTTTATAAGGAGGGGTTGCATTTTTCATTTGTTTTTTTTTTTTGCATAAGGGAAGCGGCAAACATCTTGGCTCTCCCATTGAGCGGCATCTAGCCTAGCTCCTTTCTTGGAGTCTGAAACTATGCGCAGTCTCCTGCTGGCACCTCGATTTTAAACAAGAATTCTTAAATCACCGAAACTCTTAAGTCACCGGAACTCTTAAGTCACCGGAACTCATAAGTCACTGGAACTCATAAGTCACCGGAACTCATAAGGCACCGTAACTCATAAGTCACCAGAACTCATAAATCTGTCCGAACTGAGAGAATCCCTCAAAGGGCAAGACGATACCTATCTATATTTCTGATAGCTGCGTCAAGCCGGTCCACTGAGAACTTCGACACAAAAATCCGAAAGCCGATCTATTTGTGTGAGAGTGGCTTTTCCAAGGATTGCTACCTAAATCTCTCAATCTCTCTCTTTGTCCCTGTCTCACTCCAGCCCAGCGCCCCCCCCCCCCCTTTTTTTCCCTAAAGGTTTTGGGCTTGAGACTATTGGGACAAATTCGAGTGTTCATTGTGGTCACCGTAACTGAAGAATTTCTTTAAACAAGGTTTTAAATTTTTAAAAAAATGGATTTTTAAAATTTTATGTTACGTTGTTTTAATATTTTATGTTTATGTATTACCCTAGTATCCCGTTTTTATATTTTACAGTATGATTTAATAACGGATCAATTGTTTAAAAATAAGAAGTCCCCACCCCCCCTCCCCCCTTCCTTTAAATCTTTGATAATATAATCTGTCTATAGATCAGGGGGGGGGGATCACAAAGGAAATGTGGTGCAGGGGTGCGGACAGCTGGTAGTGACGTCAGCCATCTATATAGCTAGGTTGAAATGGCTAGAAAGACTTTGATATTGTATGCTTGTAATTAGTTTTTGTAGTGTTGTGTTTGTTTTAAATGTGGTGAATTATAGATATGTTTTTGTTGACTTTGTACCGCGCTTCGAGCCTTTGGGGAATGAAGCGTGTTTTTTAAATGAACTTTATTATTATTATTATTATATTAATTTTGCTTTAGCGGTAGTAAATATATTTTTTTTCTCCCTCTTAAGATATATAAAAAAAAAACAACCCCCTGATAATCCATTGCAGTTTCAGAGCGAAATGTCTGGGTTGAAATGTTACCGTTGATCAATGAAATTTTTGTTCCCTCCCTCCAAGAATGTCAGTTATGTCTTTAATATCATTTCCAATCGAGAGACGCACGCACAGCCAAGTTCTATGGGGGCCTACGTCAAGGTGAAGGTTGAGAAACACTGTGAGTCACAAGGGCGCACTAAGCAGTTACAGTGGTCATGAAGAACTGATTTTAAAAAAAACACAATTGTTTCAGTGTCGTCCGTTACATCATCAAGGGCACGCAATGCATTCTGCGATACTCTGTGCAAGTGGTCGACGCGAAGTGAAGGAAGTCCTTTAATGCCACCTATTTAAGCGTGATTTTACAAGAGGAATATTTCGCTTATCACTTCTTTAGTTTATTTTTGAAAAAGTGTGTGTGTGTGGGAAAAAAGTGTGTGGGGGGGGGGTATCGATCTCCTAATATTATTTTTCAAGATTTCCTTAATAATTCCATTTTGAATTTAAGGATCTAAATATAAAGATAAACACCTTTGTACAAAGCTGAGCCAGTCGACAGTTGGAGTTATTCCTCTCGCATCATTTAGTCCGTCAACAACAGAGATCCTACCTGCCGGCACTGCAGCCTGGCCCCAGAGACCTTAGAACATCTGTTGACGGAGTGTCCCGCACTAGATCTCCCGGGGGAAGCCAGGGTGGTTGGAGGATCCTTTGTGAGGGATATGTTGTATGGCTCAGCTCAACAGATGGAGTTGATAGCCAATTTACTAGCCGGGGTCATAAGAGAGTAATCTCAGACCTTCACCAGAATATGTGCGTTAGTTAGTTAGTCCGTCTTTAAAGTAATGTATCGCTTAACGGATTGACCCGTGATAGGTGGCCTAAAAACTCTTGAATGCAATCTACTTCCATGCACATTCCCGGTATGTCCTGGACCATTTTAGCAATAAGTGTCGGGTCGGTGGGAATCACCCCGCGCGCCCCACCCCCCTTCCCCCGCCCCCACCACGCAAACAAACCCTTAAATTAGTTGGTTGTTCGTACAATCAAAGTTGCTGTAGTGTAACAGGTCATTTGACCATTGAACCCTTGAACTTTAGGTCTGAGATTAGGTCGGAGATGAGGTCAGGGATTAGGTCCGCGTTAAAGTCAGAGATTAGACCAAAGATAAAGCCAGAGATTAGGTCAGAGATTAGGTCTGAGATTAGTCAGAGGTTAGGTCAGAGCTGATGCCAGAGATTAAGTCAGAAATTATATTTAAGAATGGGCCAGAGATAAAAGCGGAAAGAAGAATAAGAAGAAAAAAAAAAGAAAAAAAAAAGAAGGAAATAATGAGATTAATATCAGATTACGTTGGAGATGATAATAAATGTCATAAGCCTATTTAGAGACGGTACGATAAATACAGTCAAAATCCTTTCGGGCCCAAGAGTTATCCATTGAGCATTTGCGGTAATGTGTTATATTAAAATGGCAGACATCTGCTTGGAAGATATCTAGAACACAAAAATAAATTAGTCGCATCATAAAATAATAATAGTAATAATAATAATAATAATAATAATAATAATAATAATAATAATAATAATAATAATAATAATAATAATAATAATGATTAAAATATTTAAAAAAGCACAGAATGGGAACGTAAAAGCTGTACCCGCGTTCGTCATGTGTAGAGCTGCTGCAAAGATTGGTGTTTGTAAATGGGTGACCTCGACCCGGTGACCTGCCCGGCGTGCAAGCACTCGTAAGGTACAGAGGTCTCCGAGTTGTAGTAGTCCAGCCCGTCACTCGAGAGACACCTGCAGTGGTCCTTGGTGGCGAACCTGACCCGCAGCCGGACGCCATTCTTGTTCTCCTCCGTCACCGTCACCACGCTGGAGCCGCGCCCCAGGCGCTCCAGGGAGTTCCCGCTGTCTGAGTTGGAAACGTTGTTCGAGACGATGTTGTCGCGGAGCCGGGACTTCGCGCAGATCTTCATCTCGTACACCGGCCGGTGGAGGTGGCCGTGCCCGCTGGACACGGACATGCAAAGCCCCGGGCTGCGGTAGCTCGGCGACCGCCTGATGAACTGGTCGTTCTGCGGACAGAACAGCTCCATGATGCTCCGCTTGATCTTGATGTTGAAGCAGCCGTAGATGAGCGGGTTGAAAGCACTCTGTATGAAAGTTATGGACTCGACCAAGGCCATGACCTCCTCGGGCACGTGGATCTTGTAGTTGCTGTAGATGCGGATCAGCGTCGTCACGAAGTACGGCGTCCAGCAGACGATGAAGGTCGCGATGATGGCGAACGTCATCTTCAGGGTTTTGATCTTGGCGCGCGGGAAAGTCGACTTACTCCGCGGGCACTGAGATCTCCGCAGCGAGCAGTTGTTGTTCTGGGTGTTCTGCACCACCCGGCTCGCCTTGGACACCACGCATACGATGCTGATGTAGCAGAAGGAAATCAGGATCACGGGAATGACGAACACGTAACTGGTCAAGAAAGAGAAATACAACATCCGCTGCCACAGCGCCGTGTAGCCTTTCGTCTGGCACTGGGTCAGCACGCGCCCGTCTTTGTTCTCCTCGACCTGCACGAAGATGAGGAGCTGCGGGATGGCGAGGATGAACGCCAGCGCCCACGAGACGGCGATGAACTTTTTCGCCCGCGCCGTCGTCGCCCGGTATTTCAACGGCTTGCAGATGGCGAGGTAACGGTCGAAGCTCATGGACGTCAGGATGAACGTCGTGCTGGCCAGCGTGACGCACTGAAAATAGGGCAAGATCTTACAGAGGGCCGGGCCCAGGACCCATTTGCCGAACGCGACGAACAGGATCTCGGTGGTCATCGTGCAGAAGCAGACCGTGAGGTCCCCGATGGCGAGGTGGATGATGAAGATGTTGACGCGGCTGTTCCGTTTCCGGTACCGGCTGCAGGTGAGCATCATGATGATGATGGTGTTGCCGAAGAGCGTGAAGACCATGCTGAAGACGATGATCGTGACGCGTTGTATCACGGCCGGCTGCCAGATGACGTCGTCGAAGTAGGTGCAGTTCCCTGAGGTCGTGCAGTTGACCACCCCGGGGATGTCGCCCGCTGTCGTCGTTGTCGTGGTGGACAGCGGCGGGGTGAAGAGCGCCGCCGTGCCGCTGCTCACGATGGTAGAGTGAGGGAATGACGGCATACTTTTCTTCTTCTTCCAGCCACGCGAGTCATTCAATTCTCCCACCGCTTTCGATGTGCCGCCGTCTGATGGTAAGCACCATCCATTTTCGCATACTGGTACACATCATTACACGGGAAAGTCTCGGCGAGAGCACTCCAACATTTACATTCTGCCAAGAATTATCCGTTCTTGAAGTCCAACAAGCTGTAAGGTCAACACTCAACGGAGATAATGACGTCAGTTATACAACGCCACAGCTGTTGATGGCATTCGTTTGTGGACATCTCAGTCAGGGGGAGATTATATCCACACACACACACAAAGGGTAATGACCGCTGTTCGACCTGCCCTCTGACGTCAAGTTTGGACAACCAGTGAGCCTAAGCTTGATGTATTTATTACAGCTTATGCGACGGTATAAAAAATTTAACTGGATAACACCGCGATGTAGAGATTATTGTCATCATGGTCTGGTCTCAGGGGATGGGGTGGTCAGCAGGGTGTGGGGTGGGGGGGGAGCTGTCATCAGAGCGTTGTCAGAATATGGGGAACTTAATTCCTCTTGGTCTGGTTGTGCCTCATAACATATAGGGTAAGCGAACGTTGAATGACAATGAGGCTCTAGCGATTAGGTCTTGCTCTTTGCGTGATCCAATGCGGCCACCATCTGTTGAAGAGTTTTTAAAAAAAAATTAAGTTAAATATCATAATGTAACTTTTCAAAAATTGTCACTAACAAGGCTGAGAATCCCTGCACTAGATCCTCCTAATGCAGTGGTTCTCATCCTTCATAACGCCGCGACCGTTTAATACAGTTACTCATATTGGGGTGACCCCAACAATACAACTATTTTCATTGCTATACTTAATAAATACGTGTTTTCCAATGGTCTTAGGCGACCCTTGTGTAAGGGTAGTTCGACCACCCCCCACCCCCCCCCCCTTTTCCAAAGTGGTCATGACCCACAGGATGACAACCGCTGCCCTAATGCTAAGCACACTAAAAACACGTCACTAATAAAATCATCTTACAAAATCAGATTTAAAAGTTATATAAAAAAAGACCTTGACATACTAAACCATGGGTATATTTACGAGTAACTCAACCGGTAACAATCATCATTGATTCAGCTAACCGTAACGTTAACACCAATCAACACACATGACGAGGCAGGAGGCAGGTGCAGAAAAAAAGCCGGAGTTAAGTCAGGCTGAAACAAACAAAAAAAAAAAGAAGTTGTTATCCTTATGGAGGAAGTCGTTACGCACGGGTTACGATAAAGTCAATGTAATATTCTATTTGCAAGAAAAATGGAGGATGCTGGTTACCATGGAAACAAAAAACAACATGGCGCTGTAGCAAAGCAGATTTTTTTGTTTGTTAACATCAGAAGTTGTTGTTTTTTAGAGTGTTAACGTGACTAACTTTCAGTACGTGACAACGGAACCCCGCTAAGACGCGATAATTTGGGGTTTGGTTTGGGGGGTGGGGGGGGGATCCGTAAAATCTGATCGTGTTAATAGCAGGGTTGCCTTAATGAGGTTATTTCGTGTGAATAGGTTTGGGAGTTTAAAAAAAAATTTGCAGGCTATTTTTGTTGTTGTAATAGTTAAAACAAACGACTGTCTGTATCTCAGGTGGTGAGTGTCCCTTTTGTTTGTTTGTTTAAAGTTGAACCAGTTTTTTTAACTGGATTTGTTATTGTGTAGTACGAAAATATTTACCCGCCCCCCCCCCCCCCCCCCCCCCCCAAATATTTACCCCCCCCCTTCCCCCCCCCCCCCCTCCCATACGATGAAAGAAATTTCATGTGCGAATGAATCTACGAACTTCTGAGAGTCTCGCAATGACTGCGTTTTATCCGAATTTTCGCTAAGGCGAGTCCAGTTAGAGACAGGTTCCACTGTGAAATAAAATCAACAAACAACAACAACAACAACAACACCACCTTATATCCGATGTTGTTATTATAGCAGCACGTACCGTTAAACGGTTTTTGTAAGTTTAATCTGTTTTAAGATTCGGCTCGGTAGTTGAACACTTACGTAACAAAGGACTGGACAGCACCATCCAAAGAAAAACGCTGCCAAACCTGGTTATGTTAGCCACTATTATTTTAATGATACAATTAAGTTTAGAGCATATTTACCCCGTAATCTTGTCATAAATTCATAATACAAGGCTTCATTTGGGCGCACACCTGAATTGGGTTTTATATCAATCTACAATTAATTGATTGACCAAGAACAAAAATTCTATCCCATGATAAGGACT